ATATATATATATATATATATATATATATATATATATATATATATATATATATATATATATATATACCTGAATTTGAGTTGAACTCGAAGGATGTTCTCTTCACAGCCGCCAAGTATTACTGGCAGGCTAAACCCTTCCCGCGTAGCCGCCACTAGTATGATGATGGAGCCCGACAGCTCCGTGGGGATATCATAAGAAGCAGAAAAAACTTAATTTGTTTCTGTACACAAAAAAAGGCTCCGCGTGCTCTATAAAGCACAGCTTTTAGCCGCTGCCTCGCTGCACCTTTGTTAATCAATAAACTTCGGCCTAATGACCTCATCAGTATAGAATTTACCATATGCATCTCCACCGTGAACAATATGCCCCCCGGACCATAACTTCCTGCAACAGCTTCTGCCTCACAACATGCTGAGGCCAACGATTGCTACTGCAATACCCACAATACCGGGCGAAACAGCTGAGGCAGAGCCTTCGAGGGCTGTCACAATCTGTCCCCACTGCTCTTCTCTGCAGAAAACACACCGAAGAGCAAAGCAATCCCATAATAGAATAGAATAGAGAAAGAAGGGGTAGCGCGGGGTATAAAAGAACTCACGTGAAAGGGGTGTTTGTCCCGTTCATGGGGAGCACATCAGGCACAGTCATGCAAAGCAAAGCAGATCCTTTTTCTGTTTCCCCCGCCGCTTGTGTTCTTTGTTGATTTTGCTCTGCAGGCGTTGTCTTTGTGCACGTCACAACCCGGCAGTCAGCAGTTGCCTGCTCTGATGGGTTATACAGGGCCACGAAAGAAACATTGTCCTGGACTTGATACAACGCTTCATCTTTTTTGTTAGGTGGAGGCAATCCATCGAAGTTTTTGTAAGCGCCTCTCCACTTATCTACAACGGCGTTGCAGTCGATGGCATCAGGATTCTCAACGGGATGGTATGCGTATGTGCCACTATGAAACTCAACTTTTTCTCCGCCCCTTGAAGTTTTTTTTTCTGTTTTTTCCTATAACGACCAAAAAAAAAAGTAAACGCCAGGATATTTCAAACAGCTGGCGAGCTTTCTACGCCAGAGGGCCGCTCGATGGGTAAACAACTTACCGGAATCAACGCGTCGCACACTGGCTTCCACACCCACTCTTCATATGATCCACTTGAGGGTATAGATGTTTCAGGAAACTTGGTTTCTGAATCTTTTCCTGCCTGTGCAAGTTCGTTGAGCCCAACTGCCAGACGAGCAGCATTGATCTCGGCGAGACACGCACCATCGTTTCCTGCAGCAACGAAAGCAAATTAGCCTGAATATGCTCACTTCAAAGGAATTTTGCCTGCTGAGTATATTTCTAACACAAGAAACTAAAAAACATACCCAGGGTTACTGCATACGTTGGCCCTGTTGCTGTATCCACATCATCGCCCATGGCCAGTACGAGGAACGAGGCACCGACGAGAGAGAGCAGCGTGAGAGGTGCCATCGTCATCAGTATTTGTTGAATTGGCTCTCTTAAAAGTGTAACTGCAAACTAAAACTTATTAATTTATAGAAATAATGTGATTTCCACGTTGAAAACAACACCTTCATACTTTGCTTCGGCGGCGTTTCGGCTCTCGTGCTGGGGTTGCTCGTCGGCGGTGCTCGTGCTGGGCCGGCCGGGCAGCTGTGTTCTTGCTCGGCAACGTCCCACGACCGTTGAGAAAGGAGACTGAAATATAAATGCTGTTAAAAGTATTAAATTAAAAATAAATTAATTAAAATAAAATAAATAAATTAAAATTATTTTTAAAACTAAAACATTCAAGGTTTCGCAGCCGCGATTGTGAGGATCGGAGTGCTCTTCTTTCCTAGGCAACTGCGCAGAGCAAACTACTGCGAATTGGCGCCACAACAGGTTCGTTGAAAAACCCATATATTCTATCGATTGGCTGCTAGAAGCCTTCAGCCTCCTACAGTAACCTAGTTCCTGCTCTGTGCACGCAGCTTTATGCCGTGGTCAGTGCAATACTGTGCCTTGAGTCGCTAGAAAACGATTCAACGATTCTTAATCAAATGTAAAAACCTGAGCCTGAGTTGAATTTGACAAGCTGAAAGCTTCATCGCCAAGCAGCGTCTGCTTTCATAGTGAAGCACAGCAGCTCCACTGGCAGAGCAGAGAGGCCAAAACAAAGTTTATCTCTGTACAAAAAAAGAGCTTCTCGAGCCTTTTATAGGCTGTGTTTCATCGGTATTTCGGGTTGTTTATTAAGTATCCGCCAGCAGCCAGCTCAGCCCTGATGCTCTCAATACCCGCGAGCTTCTTATTTGCATTGAGTGTGCAGTATGTGATCCGTGAACTTCAACACATCTGCAGAAAGCGAAACTCTGGTTTCCGAAGCTCTTGCTTTCTTCAACTGTAGAGAAAGAGCGTTTTGTATCATCCCTCTGTTAAAAAGCTTTTATTTCATATCATGCTGAGGCCAAGGATCACCAATACAAGACTGACAACGCCGGGCACAACGGCGGAGGCAGAGCCTTCGATGGCTGTCACTATCTGTCCCCATTGCTCCTCCCTG